ATATTAGGCTTTTATTATATAGGAGGATAACAAACATGGCTGCCATCTATTGAGTTCTGACTGTGTACCACACATTTCACAGAAATTACTGCACTTATTCCTGGTACCATCCCTAGGATATGGAAGAAGAAACTAATACTTGGGAAAGATTATAGGGTCCAAAATCCTACCACTGGTCAGCAGCACTAAGACAAGATCTACCTTCTGGGGGCCAGCCTGATGAGAGCAGTTCTGTAGGCAGAATACGCTAGGCCTTGCAGCAAGATGGAATGGAAGTTAACAAAATCACAGAGCAATGAGAAAGCTAGTGCACCAATTATCTCTTCTTGAGGTTCATTAAGTGGCTACCCTAGATGGGAGATGACAGGAGTGAATCAACTCAAAGAAAGGTCCAGTGGAAATGGCTGGTAGATTGGAGATGGGGGAAGAGTAAGCACTCAGGATGACTAGAGTCCTGATTAGTGGTAGTACCGACAGAACAAGAAAAAAATTACTCACCTTACGTAAGGATCAAAAGGCTGCTGAAAGTGGCCTTTTAGAACATTTAAAATTAGAACATAAAATTTAATTCACACATAGTTGATTTAAAAAAACCCAGACTGCCTGTATTCTTAAAGAAATAATAGGCTTTAACTATGTAGGGCATGAAAAAAAAAAAAAGTAGGAGTCTAATTATGTATGTTCTTTCTTTTAAAGCAGGGGTATATTATGTGCATTGAGTTAACATGCACCATTTCTGAATTTTACCCAGATGAAACTTGAAAATGTGAATGATCTGACTTGTCAGCTTAGAGACAATCACAGAATTCATCAGTTATATTACATTTTCACTGAAGGGGACAAAAAAAAAAAATCTAGGTTAGTCCACCTGGTTGTAAAAATAGACTTCTCCAATGTGAAAATAATAAACTGCCTCATTATTATTCCTGTCTCTAAGGCTTAAGCAAGCTCAGCAAGAGACATGTGTATTTTCCCTGTTCTCCCCACAGAGTATCAATTTTGAACTAAAAAAAAAAAAAAAGGAAGAAGAAGACGACCATTTGGTAATCAAGAGTTTGATCTCATGGAGTCGTGGGTCCTTCCTAAGAGGAGACCACACATCTCTGAAAGGTTAATAAACTCTTCACATGCACTCCTAGTTCTCATTAGTTACAGTGTTTTTAGGGGAGTTAATTTCCTAAATGAGTTCATAAAAGGGTTCTTTTGAAATATTCTATTAGATAGATGGTTTCTTGCCAAAGAGAGGGTGACATTAATAAATTAAACCCTAGCCTGGCTGGTGTGGCTCAATGGTTGAGCATTTGACCCAGGAATAAAGAAATTATGGTTCAATTCCTGGTCAGGGCACATACCTGGGTTACAGGCTTGATCCCCAGAAGGAGGTGTGCAGGAGAGAGCCAATGGATGACTCTCATCACTGATGTTTCTATCCCTTTCTCCTTCCTCTTTTTTTAAAAGTCAATAAAAAATATTTTAAAAAGAAATTAAACCCTAATACTACTTGACGTTTTCCTTTTGCATACTTTCTGAGTATAAAAAAAATATAGCTACATTGAAGTGAATCCCACAAAACAGGAGCTAGAATTACCTAATGAGATTCTTGCAAGAAAATTATTGCCGCTTTCCCTTCATTACAGCAGGCTTAGGACAGCTTTGAGGACAGACTCAAAATTACATCAGCTCCATCTGAGAAAAGTTCTTGCACAGTAAAAAAAATTCCCACTAGTTCTCTCTATTCCTCCCGACTCAACTACAAAAACCCCAAAAGCAGACAATCAAGAAGTTTAAACAGCGGTCTCAGCATCATGGCTATAGAACTTGTGATTTCATCCACTGACGTTCCAGCCCTCACTGGCGTGATTTCTTTTAGTCCTCACTAGATTTCATTTGCTCAATAAGATAATTTAGAATAATCAGCATACACTATAATGTCTAACTCCATTTTAATACATGGCCTATTTAAAAACCAGGTAGTCATGCACCATGTAACAACATTTCAGTTAATGACAGACCACATACACCACCATGGTCCCATAAAACCACAATGGAGCTGACGTTTTTCTATCGCCTAGTGACACCTTAGCAGGGCCACACATGACTCATGTATTTGTGGAGATGTGGTATAAACAAGCCTACGGCACCGCCACGCATATAAAAGTGGAGCACATACAATTATGCACAGTCCTTCATACTTGAAAATGATAAGTAACTGCTACTGACTTATGTTCCTACTATACTATACTTTTATAATCATTCTTTCAGAGTGTAGTCTTTCTACTTATTTTTTTAAAAAAGTGTGCTGTAAAACAGTAGCTTTGTTATGAAGGCCGTCATCCATCTTGTGTTTGCCATCTCTTATCCGCACTGTTTTCTCTTGTTCTGGATTTAAGCTCACGTTGCTATGTACAGTGACATGCTGTAGCCTGGGAGCAATAGGCTACATACCATACAGCCCAGATGTGTAGTAGGCTATACCATCTGGGTCTGTGGAAGTGCACTCTATCCAGGGGTGGGCAAAAGTAGGTTGACAGTTGTAAGAATGGGAAACCCAGTTTATTCTTGTATTATTATTTTCTACTAGAGAACCCAGTGCACAAATTTGTGCACCAGTGGGGCCCCTTAGCCTGGCCTGTGAGACTGGGCTGAGATCAGCTCTCTGACATCCCTCGAGGGGTCCCAGATTGCAAGAGGGCGCAGGCCAGGCCGAGGGACCCCACCATGCACCACTGGGGCCAGGGAGGGACATGGGGGGTTGGCCAATATGGGAGGGCTCCAGGGCATGTCTGGCCCTTCTCGTCCAGTCCAGTCCAGTCCTGATCGGCCGGACCCCAGCAGCAAGCTAACCTACCAGTCGGAGCATCTGTCCCCTGGTGGTCAATGCATGTCATAGCGTCTGGTTGACCAGTCGACTGCTTCCTGGTGGTCAGTGCACATCATAGTGAGCAGTTGAGCGGCCTTAGCATATCATTAGCATATCACACTTTGATTGAATGGTTGAGCGGACACTTAGCATATTAGGCTTTTACTATATGAGGATACAAACAACTGTAAACCTACTTTTGCCCACCCATAAGTTTCCCAACAATGACATCACTTAGTAGTGACCCAGTTCTCAGAACTATTGCCAAACCATGTTAAGTGGCATATGACTCTATCTCTACAACTCACCACACAATGTAGTAAGTAAACATCCTGGGAATAATTAAAAAAAAAAAAAGAAACCTTCACACAAGGGTGTGACACTTTAACATAAAAGAAGGGTATAGAAAAGAACAATACAGGAGAAAAATTAAGTCTGCACTTAAAGCACTCATTTGCTTTGCCAGTTATCATAGTAGTTGAGGTACAAACTATTATCACCACCATTTTACCCATTGTGAAGACTGAATTTTAGTAGGTTCTCTGAGTTCTGCCAAAACATTTAAATGATTTCACAGACAGCCATCCATCCCTCAAAGATTACTAATCTTGTTGTTTACATAAAGATCAACACAGTTGTGACAAGTGAAACCAAGCTTCCAAATTTCTTCAAATCTGAAATTTATTTTGTCAACTGAGACATTAATATAGACTCCCCCAATTACAAAGGCATTAGAAATAAAGACTGTCCACTTTCTCCATAGTTTGCTATTAGTTAGCCAGCTGTCAGCCTTCCAAAGTGTAAACAATAAAACTTTCTGTTAAAGTGCCACAACCTTTTGTGAAGGAAAACCTAATAGCCGTTGTTAATGCTTTTTCCCTAAATGAAGTTTCTGGTTCTTTTCATAACAAACTGTTATGAAACATTTAAAGAAAGTGCAAAAAAAAATAAATAAGAGAATTCTTTTGGGGGAGGAGAGTGGAGTTGATGCAGGAGGTATTATTATTCCACCAAGTATAATTAATCTGTAAAAACAAACCATTCGATTAAATTGACTAACAGATGACGAAAGGAAAACAGGTCAATAGACCAGGGATTTGTCACTTCACTTCTGGGGCAAATGATTACTTCTATGCATTACGATTGCACGCCCACCCAAATCCTGCACGTGGGGCGGCTCCGCATTTCTGTCCCTGTTGCTACTTTTCTCATCCCACTGGCCACAAGCCAGAATCTGAGCAGGACTCTTCCTCCCTGAACTTTATACAGACAGACAAGCTGACACACAAATGCTGAGGTCTCGGACGAGCGAGTAACCAACTATCTGAGCAAAAATCGAATCCAGGTAGCTCCTGCCAGAACTGATGCCGGGGTGGAGGAGGTGCTGCTCCAAATGGCACTTCCATGGGCCCAGGGGGAAACGGAGCGCAGAGGGAGCACCGGGACGATTCAGCAGCCCAGGGGGGCAAAGGCCTCCCCGAGGATGGTGTGGAGGAGGCTTCCTCTCCCTCACCTCCGTCTTTATCTTGAATCGATAGAAAAACCGTCCCTGCAGCCCGCTCTGAAGAGCTATTTTCACCCACAGCCAAAATCAGCAACAGCAAACCACACCGCAGACAATGGGGAGCGCTGCTCCGCACGGCGAGCAACTCCGGAGAGGCAGCGCGAAGGCTGACTTTTCCGGGGCAGAGCCCCCGCGCGCCCACCGCCCCGCGCCCGGAACCCCGAGGGGATCAGGCAGGATGGGGGGCCGTCCCAGCGCGGATGCGGGGCCGCCGGAGCGAGAATCCCTTCGACCCGGCCCCGCGTGGCGGGCGCTCCCTGGCGGAGAGCGCGGCCGTCGGGGAGACCCGGCGTCCCGGACGGATGGGCGCGCGGGGACCGAGGGCGGCGGGCGGTCCGCGGGCCGGGCTGGGCTCTGCGTCCCCCCGGGCGGCGGAGACCTGAGGTCTCGGAGCCGCAGGCCGGGCTCCGACGGCCCCCTTCCCAGCCCCGTCAGCGCCAACAGGGGCGGGGCAGCCCGGACGCGGGCAGCGGGGGAAGGAGAGGGGCGGCGGAGAGACGTGGGGGGCGAGAGTCCGTCCAAGAGGCAGCCCAGCCCGAGCCCCCGCGCCCCGCACACCCCGTTCGCGCCACTCACCCGAGTCTTGCAGCGCTGGTGCCGGCCCGGGTCGGAGTAGGTCCGGTCCACCGTGAGCGCCGTGTCGCTGCCCGGCATGTCGGCGCTCGCGCCGGGAACTTGCCCGTCTCTCGGGGCCGCCACGACGCGAGCTGCCGGCCCTGCTCCGGGCGCCCGGGGGCGGCGGCGGCCGAGCGGGAGGAGCGGGCGGAGCGGGCTCTGCTGCCCGGCCGACCGCGGACTCCGCGAGCCGCCCGGCGCCGCTGCCGCCGCCGCCGCCGCCGCCGCGGGTGGAGGGGGCGGGGCGGGCGCGGAGGCTCCTCCCCTTCCCTCCTTCCTCCCCGCCCCATGCGCGCCGCCGCCGCCGCCCAGCTTCCCCAGGTGTGACTGCCCGCTCCCGCCCTGGCTGAGACTTGAGTTTGCCCCCTCCCATACGGCCCTCTTTTCCTTCAAAAGATGAGAGGCATCTATTTGTTGACTTATTCGTATAATTAGGATAAAAGATGTTTTTTTTTTAATGTATTTTATTGATTTTGTACAGAGAGGAAGGGAGAGAGATACAGTTAGAAACATCGATGAGAGAGAGTCATCGATCAGCCGCCTCTTACTCACCCCCTACTGGGGATATGCCCGCAACCAAGGTACATGCCCTTGACTGGAATCAAACCTGGGACCTTTCAGTCCCCAAGCCGACGCTCTATCCATTGAGCCAAACCGGTTTTGGCAAAAGATGGGTTTTTGACAAGCTGTTGAGGCGTGCCTTAGATGCTTGCTTTCAGGTTTTTGTGTTTTTAATCATTCAACGTGCACCTATCGGGCATCTGCCATGTGCCAGACCCTGGGACAGGGAGCAGAGGTGTTTAAAGCCCCTGTTTTTCTTATAATTCACTGAGCACAAAACGCACTTCCACTTAAACAAATAATTTGTGGTGCTGTGTGCTTTAATTTTGCAAATCTAGCTCACCTTTATGTTGGAAGCCACCTGAAAATCAAGACATATCTTTTTCATTTTAGTATTCCCTATTTCCAATAAACAGTCCCCATCCTTAAGAAATTTGGAGTCTAGAAGAGAAAGGACTGATCGGTGAACAATTCAATGTTACCTAAACCAACATTCAGAACAAAGGTTCTGGTGATCTAGGGTGAACTAGGGGGAGACTGAGTTGAAATACTGGAAGTGCAGCCGCCTCAGAGAGGTCATTGCCAAGGGACCAGCCAAGAAAAAAGGAAAGATAAGCTCCTCCCTTCAGAGGGTTGAGGGGCTAGGGGAGTGCAGGCAGAAGAAAAGTACTGAGCATAAAAACAAAGCACATTTGGAAAACCTCAAGATATCAGTTTAGGGGAGGTGTCTTTAAGAACATAAGGATGTGCTGGGAAAAGTAGGTGGAGACTGTGTGGTGCAGGGTTCCACTTTCAAAACTACCAAGTTCAGCCTTTTTATGAGGGTTTTCGGAAGCAGCTGGGGGTTTCTAAACAGGGAACGGATGACATCAGAAGGGGAATTTAAGATCTATGTGATAGCCATGAGAAGCACTGACTGAAGATGGGTAAAGGACACTGGTTAGAAGACCATTGCCAAGACTGAGAACAACCTAAGGTCATTCAGAAGGAGACTGGGTGTAAATTATGACACACCCATCCAGTGGAGTATTGGGTAGCTGTAATGGAATGAGGCAACTCTCTGTTTGTAGCTTCAGAAACATCTCTAGCATATATGGTTAAGTGGAAAAAGCAATATGCAGAATAATTTGTATGGTATTCCACCATTTATGTACAAACCATATATGTATGTGTTATATATGCAGAGAATATTTCTAGAAGGATAAACAAGAAACTAGGGAGATAGACAAGAAACTGATAGCAGGAGAACTAGGTAGCTACAAGGAAGGGATGAGAGATTTATTTTTCATAGTACATACTTTTAAGAAACTTATCTTTGTTGTTGAAACTTATCTTTGTTGTTACAGATATCCACTCTTTGTCCCTCATTGACCCCCTCCACACCCCCCCCCCTTTCCAGGCCTTCACTACACTATTGTCTGTGTCCATAGCTATGCGTATATGCAAATAAGTTCTTTGGTTAATAACCTCCTACCCCCACCCCACCCCCTTCCCTCTGAGATTCATCAGTCTGTCCCATGCTTCTAGGGCGAGGCAAGTGTGTATATTCCTGACAGTTTCTGGCATAGTTTGTATTCAATACATACTTGCCAAATGAATGGATAAATTAAACATTTATTAAACGTCTACTTATTGCCCAAACAATGGGGTTTTAAAAATGAGTAAGATATACGATATTTTGCCTTTAAGGGGTTGGAATGAATAATATATAAAGATAAAAATTTGCTGAATGATGATTGTTACCAATTTTCAGATACTGCTTAGTTACTGAAATTTGTGCATTCCCGGGTTATTTATTCAGCACCATAGATGTGATAGACTCTGTTCCTGGTGCTGAGTGTAGAAAACTAACACACGGTCCAATCCTGCAGGGACATGCCCTCTAGCTAGGTGGTAGGGCAAAGGGAGGTGTCCCCTTAGGGGCTCACCTCCTGAGTTGTTTCATGTTTAGCATGCCAATACAGTAGGGAGAAGGAAAGAGACATGGAGGAGAGCCTCATTTTATAGAGGAAAAGTAAGCCTTTTACAAAGTAAAGAAAAATGTTTTTCCTTTCATATTCCATTTTCATTTAATAGTACAGGTAAGTGTTGCCCCTGGGGGAAAGATCTATAAGACAAAAAGTACAGCTTTTTCCCCCTGAGAATTTAAGGACAGAGAGAGTAGAGAAAAAAATAAATCATATTTTTAAAATGTACTAACTAGCCTACTGTGAATGCATGCTGATAAGATGTATGTATGTATGTATGTATGTATGTTGAGGATCAGAAGCTTCCAGGCCTGATGCAAATAGAATCTCTAATTTTAACTACCTGGTTTACAGCCAACTTGAAGTAACTACTCTTCACATTTACTGGTATACTTAATTTTTAACATAGCATGTTCTAACAAGAAAACAATGACTGCTATTTACTTAGCATCAGCAATCATCTGGAATACAAGCCAAAAACTTTTACCTGGTAAGATTTTGACAAAAAACAGGAAAGTGGAAAGACTCAAACTCTGCAGGCTGGTAAATTTGCCCTCTAATATCCCTTTTATCAGATGCAACAATTTTGTGCTACTGATTTCTCAAGAACAGTGAATCTTAAAGAGAATTCTACAGGGAGCCTTCAATGTCCTGGAGACTGGTCTCTAACATTTACCTAGCCTGCAGACTTGAGGCTACATTAAAAAGTACAAACATGTGTTTTACCGCATCAAAATGCAAAACCTTTGCTTTATGAAAGACCTGTTAAAAGTATGAAAAGACAAAATATAGTTGGGAAAAATATTTTCAAAAGCACGTTTCCAACAAATTAGTTGCATTAGTATCTAGAAAACAAAGAACTCTCAAAACTCAGTATTAAGAAATAAACAATCCAACTTTAAAAATGGGCAAAAAAACTTGAACAGACATTTCATTGAAGGCAAACATAGATGGCAAATAAACACATGAAAAGATGCTCATTAGCTATTAAGGAAATGCACGTTAAAACCACAAAGAATATTACCATATACCTATCAGAAATGGTTAAAACAAAATGTGATAATACTAAATGTGGGCAAGGATATGGAGAAAATAGCTAATTCATACATTGCTGACAGGAATGTGAAATGGTACAGCCTCTCTGGAAAACGATTTGGCAAATACCATGTGACCTGGAAATTGCCTTCTCATGCATTTATCCCAAGAAGAGGTAAATGTTCATGCAAAAACCTCTACACAAATGTTCATAGCAGCTTTACTTATAAAAGCCAAAAACTGGAAATATTCCAGATGTCTTTCAATGAGTAATAGGTAAACTGTGGGACATCCATACTGTAGAATACGGCTTACTACCTAGTAAGAAGGAACAAACTACTGACATAAACAACTTGTATGAGTGAGTGTAAGGGAATTATGCTGGGTAAAGAAGTCAGTCTCCCAAGGTATGATTCCATTTATGAGACAAAACTATAGAAATGGAGAAGAGACCATGGCTTCCAGGAAGTAGAAACTAGGCAGGGAGGTGAGGGGGCACAGGAGAGGTGGTTGTAGTTATTATCATAGGGCAACACCAGGGATCCTGTGGCGATGGAACTCTTTGTCTCAGCTGTAGGTGGTGGACAGGACCTGCTCATGTGGTAAAACTGTGGAGAACTAAACACACCCGCCGTACCCTCCCCCCACCACGCACAACTACCAACCAAACAGGAGAAACCTGATTATGACTGTGGATTGTATCAATGTTAATATGATATTCTACCATAGTTTGGCAAGATGTTACCCCTGGAAACTAGGTTAAGAGTACACAGGACCTCTCCTGTGTATTATTCCTTACAACTGCATGTGAATCAACAATAATCTCAAAATTAAAATTTTAATTTAAAATGTTATTTTACGCCCTGGGTACTTTGGCTCAGTGGATAGAGCATCAGCCTACAGACTAACAGGTGCTGGGTTCAATTCCGGTCAAGGGCACGTACCTCCATTGAAGGCTCTTCCCTGGCCAGGTTGGGGCGTTTGCAGGAGGCAACCAATCAAATGTGTCTTTCTCATATCGATGATTCTGTCTCTTCTCTCTCAAAAAATCAATAGAGAAATATCCTTGTGTGAGGATTTAAAAAAATAAATGAATAAAGAGAATTGATCTCATTTAAAAAAATAAAATGTATTTTACACCTTAGGTGCAATTGTGGTAATTTTCACAGGAAAAACTTTGTTTGGGAGGGGACAACACAGCAAGTAGGAATGGGTGGTGTACCGATTTTTTTCTCTGAAATTGTCCACAGAACAGAGTTCTTCCGGGTTCTGGCCGCTTGTTGCCTCAGAGAAGGGGACCACATGGGGAAACTGAAGAGCAAAGGAGAGACGGCAGGTGGTGCCATTAAGGTGACCCCCTCCATCAGGACCTGACCACAGTGGACACCATGAAGAAATTGAGGGCCCAGGGCAGAGTCCCTCAGCCGTGGTCCGCCAGTGTGGAGCACAGCACCGGACAAAAAGCAGTGATCCTAT